TTTGGTTGTGCCATGCACAAATGAGCGAGCGACGCGACGCAACATACTTTGCTATATACCTCTTTTGTTCCAGTCAATCCAGCGAAAGTCATGCACAGCTTCCATTCTGTTTTGAGGGAAGAGCAAAGATTGTTGTATAGCATAAAGGTGTCCTCGTGCTTTTGCTAAGTGGGTGAAAGATGTCGCAATAGTTTCCAACTGAAAGATACCTCGCTACATCTTCTAGCCAAGGACGCGACATCATCATGTTGCGCTGAATGTCTTTTGCAAAGACACGCAGCGCAGCGCAACATTCTGATCTTCTCCATGAGTTCTCGACGTGTCGACCCTGTAAGAGAGAGAAAAGAGACGAAGAACCGCGTAGCTCGCAGGTATTGTTATAGATGTGTTGAAAAGGTTTTCCGTAGATGTATCAAGACCAGAAAAAGAGCAGCCATAGCTCGAGACAGGCGACATTCTTATTATCGATCGATAACAGCCGAAACACGACATCACATCGCTCGTCGCCAACTTTGAACTCGTAGCACGGATCAGAACTCCCATCAGCCCGGTTCTCTGGTGTTTCTTTGGGAACTCAGATACCAGGCCGATCATGGCGGCGTTTTCCTTCCATTTACGTGTAAGAGGAACTAGGCGAAGGAAGACACATAATCAGGAGGTATTTACCTTTTGGAAAGAAGACCTGAGAAGGCGCAGACATGCTTTCGCATATGCTTTTAAATTTTGTAGGATTTGTGTGCAGGAGAGGAAAGTGCGGAAGGAAGGACTTGGGGGACTTTATATATGCCCAGATGGGACGTCACGTGCGCCTCATCGATTGAACGAGGATCCATCATATCGTTCGCCATGGTCGTCGCCATGGTCGTTTCAATTCGTACTCTAAATCGCCTCGTGTTCCTTTTGTATCCTACAACACCAGACTATCTCTTCAACGTCTTCTGCTTCTCCGCATCAACAACCACCTTCTCGCCCGCAACCCTCAATCCCTTTCTCCTTCTGACCTTGTCTACGTATCGCTTGGCGACATTCTCCCGGTCCGCCAACTCACCCAGATCCTCGAGTTGATCTTCGGTGAACGGCACCCAGAAGGGGTCTTCGTCCAGCATCTCAAATCCAGCGAAGCGCAATTGCGGGCTGGCAGATCCAGAACTGCGTTTCCTGATCTCGTCGCTGAAGCCGAAAGATTCCGCGACAGGGAGAAGCGCGTTAATGGTGAAAGTCTGTGATCCAGTGGTAGATGCGGAGGAAGTAGAAGAGAGGGTTTCGGACAGGATAGTTCCGCGGCGGCGCGTCAAGACGGCGTAGACGCGGCCGAGGACGTCGGTGGAGGCTTGAATCTCGCAGCTGTACATTGCGAGAAGCATGCGAGGTGACCAGTCCAGGAAGCCTTGGTGGATCGATGAGCGTACGGCTTTGATGACTTCACCTGTCAAGCGACCGCGGTCCTGTGCGCTCTCGTCATCGGGGATGTTGAGTATGACGTCCTCAAGGAAGACGGCGATGCCCTGAACGGGCTCGGCGCAACAGGGGCCTTGCGCGGTGGCAAGCTGGAATGCGTATGAGATTGTAGAAGAGAAGGTGCGTGCGGAAATGGTGCGATCGGCGGGGTTGTCTGCGTCGGCGTCTGGGGATGTTGATTCGCGGAGCCTGCAAAGAGTTAGCAATGAAGTGAAGACATAGATTGGTGTACGCACGCTCGACCACATATCCCATCCTTGGTCGCGTCGACGAGAATGTTCGGTCCTATCCTACGAGGCCCAAATGCTGTGATCTTCTCAATGACTTCGGTCCATATTTCCTTCTGTCCCTTTGCCTCTGCGAACGCTTCCTTCAGCTGCTTCTTGAACTCCTCAAAACTCAGACTCTGTCCGATTTCGCGCTGTTCTGCTTCTTGAATGCCATCGTCCTCGACGCCATGTACATTATGTGGAGCATGTTCTCCTTCGTCTTCGGCTCGTCGATCAGAGTACAGCTTCTTAATAGCACCTGCATTCTTCCCCAGGAATTCGGTGACGCTGGCTGGTAATGGCCGGACTCGAAGGCGAACTGAGACGTGCTTGCTAGCTGTCTCGCCAACAACAGTACCTCGTGGTAGGTTGGGGTCTTTTGGCGGGTTCATCTCTGTTGCAGCCACGATCGACTCTCGGTATGGTACGATGGGCTCACCAGCCTGGATCTCGCACTTGGCGAATCGCTCTTTGAGGTCCTTCAGGCATCGCTCAAGATGCAATTCACCGGCTGTCAAAATGACATGCTCTCCACTTGGCAGCTGCTCGTACTCTGCGCATGGGTCACTCTGAACGAGGAGCTTCAGACCCTTGATCATCTTGTCTAGATCGTAGGGGTTCTCGGGTTCGAGCGCAACACGCACGATAGGCTCTGAACCCATCTGAACACCAGCAAGATTGAGCGATCCGGGAAGCTGAGAACATAGCGTGCCCGACTTCAAGATGTGACCCTCGAGCCCACCGATACCGAAAACGACACCAGCGGGGACAGTTGTGAGAGGCTCTAAGCCTCGCCCCATCATCAGATATAGCGCAGTGATCTTGACTTTCTGCGGCTCCGGAGCGGCGTGTGGGTTGGCTGGGGTAAACTTCGGGCCGAGGACGTAGACTTCATCGCCGACACTCAGAGTGCCGGAGAAGATACGTGCGAATCCGATGAGATGCTCGGCTTCTACGTCCGGCTCTGGTGTCTCTTCGACAGGCGTCTCAGTCTCGCCGATGGCGGTAGAGCTCAGAGCGTCGGTGACACTACCGACATCGGCATCCTCGCCGTTGGCGATAGCCTGCTGCCGGGCGATCTCTGCTCTCTTCTTTCGCCCCATCTCCCTGGCTTCTTCAGCCGTGAGCGCACCACCTCTTCGTTTGTTCTGTGGTAGTTCGCTGGAGGGTATGGAGATCATCTTGCTGACGTAGGCTACGACAGGATCGTCCTTGGAGGCCTTGAAACTAGTCATGGCATCGCGCACCTCTGGTGCAACGTAGTCGGCGCCCGGGGAGCTGTCGATGAGTTCAGGCATGCGCTCGGATTGCGCTTTCGAGGGTGGAGGCAGGTATTCGGTGACGGAGACTAGTAAGGCGGTCGATAGCGGAAGCCAAGCTGCGAAGAGTGCCATTAGGAGTGCGCGCGGATCGCGCGAGCGCATGATATGTGCTGGAAGGTTAAGGTTGAGCGATTTGGTAATCTTCTCAACCAAAGCAGGATCTCTGTAATGGAAAGTATAAGTATATTGCTATGATACATGCAGACAGATCACGCAAGGGAAGGAAATCCACGCACCCCTTCCCGTTGTTACCTCCTGTGGTGGCCTCGTATACGGCCCATATGTTGTCTAGGACGAGCTGAACGAACATGGGCTTGAGGTGGCGGCCCTTGAGATGCTTGGAGCTGAGTACGCGCTTCGTCTTGGGGTCTAGGTAGAAGTCGCCCCAAAGTACCTTTTCGAGGATGGAGCGCTTGATGCCTAATTTCTTCTCGTACAGGCTGGCGAACTGTCTTACCGTGAATGCCCAGCCGTCGATGGCACTGCCGAAAATCACATTGTTCTTCTCGGGGGCGAAATATATATCCTCGTCATCCTTTTCCTCGTACTCGGCGGGCGTGTTGGTGGTGTCTATGCTGTCGCCGTTTTCTAGTATGGACGAGGATCGTGTGTCAGTCTTCTCAGCTGCAGCATTTAGTCTCTCTTCCATCTTCTCGCGCCATCGGAGGTCATCTTCCATGCGCTCGCCTTGGTAGAAGCTGCCCATGACGGCGTTTACCTGTTCGAGCAGTTTGCTCAGATGTGTATATGCCTCTCCAGGGCTCATCTTCAGTTCTGTGATTAGCCTGTCCATCTTGTTGATGACGAGCAAGGGCTTCAGCTTCTCTATCCATGTCTGGCGCAGGACTGTGACAGTCTGACTACACACGCCTTCGACGGCGTCTACGAGCACGACAGCGCCATCGCAGAGACGTGATGCTGTAGAGACCTCGTAACTGAAGTCTATGTGTCCGGGCGAGTCTATGAGGTTTATCAAGAATTCCTTTTGCTCTGGCTGTGCTTCGGGCGCAGACCGTCGCAGCAGGGAAAAGTATAGTGAAATGGCGGACGACTCCATGGTGATGCCGCGCAGCTGCTCGTCGGGTCTCGAGTCGAGGTAGCGAATCTTGCCGGCGAGTTTGGGGGAGATGATGCCGTTGGTGGCGATGAGGGCGTCGGTGAGGGACGTCTTGCCATGGTCCTGCTGCATTCAGCACATGTCGCAGTCACGCGGACAGTCAACGTACCACGTGAGCGAGGATGCAAATGTTCCTGATGCCATCAGCCGCCTGCTGCAGCGACACCAGCTTGTCGCTCGGAACGACGGGCATCCTGGGCGAGCGTGGTCGAGACTCGGAGCTAAAACTGCTGAGGCGGTTGTCGTGTTTCGCGTGTCGATGTGACCCAGTCGGGCGCGGGGAGGGCCGTCTCGCTGCAGATCAGAGGCGCGCAGGCCAGAAAGGGCAAATTGGAGGGGTGGAGGGGATGCAGCAGTGGTTGAGGTTACAGATTCGTTGTGTGGTTTGGGATCAATGGGCGTTGAAGATTTGGATGAAACAGAGGCGCTACCACCCCGCCGCGTCACTATGGCTCATGGGCAAGCTGCACCCTGACATCAGACCCTGCTGACGGCGACAGACGCCCAACGGCCACCCTGCGGTCGCGTCGCATCGCGTGCGTGTTAGTCGTGGGATCATCGTCGCCGGTCTTTTGTTTGACCTCACCACTGCGACTCGGGCCTTGGTGCTGGCCACGTCCTTATAGCCTGTGCGCCTGCCGTTGCTGGTGTGGTTCGTGCCTGCCCAATGCCCATGCATCGCCCCTGTCGCCCTTGCCGATCTTGAATAACAGTCTGGATATAACGACTGCGCTCGAGCACCGCAACGCCCCTATAGCCTCCCACCTGCCTGCCTTCACCCATACCACCATCGACCCCGCCTGCCTGTCCGTGAATGTGACTCCCACCGCCGACATGGCAGCGACACTGGACGGCCAGCACACGCCCGCCAAACCCGTGGCCATCCGCTCTGCTGGCATGAAGCTGGACCCGCCCCATATACAGAACCTCAAGATTGCGAATGCCAGCGTCGACATCATGTCGCCCGTCAACCAGAACGGCTGCTTCGAGTTCGACCGCATCATCAAGGCCGGCACCGTCGTGAAGCGCACGCGCAAGACAAAGGCACGCATGCACGCACGCTGCCGACAGGCACGCCATGACGTCTACTAACACGTGCACAGCAATGGAAGCCCGTCTACCTCGTCCTGCGCCCCAACTGCCTCTCCATCTACAAGGACAAGGACGAGACGAAGCTGCGCCACCAGATCAACCTCTCCGAGATCACGGCCGTCGCGCGCCAGCGGGACTCGAAGAAGAAGATGGAGCATGTCTTTGGCATCTTCTCGCCCGCCCGCAACTACCACCTCGGCGCAACCACCGACAAGGACGCCCAGGAGTGGGTGCACCTCATACGCACCGAGGCGCGCATCGGCGAGCACGAGGCCGAGATGACTGTCATGAGCCCGACCACCGGGAGGAAGACGTTTTCAGGCTTCGGTCGCGCGGCCAGAGAAAACATCGTCTCCAGCTCCTCCGAGACAGAGCCGAGGCCCTCGACCTCCATCGCCCCGGAGCACATGCACAGCGCCCGGCGTCCATCGCAAGCCCTCAACTACTCCGGCGGCGAGCGCGGCTCCATCTCCGACTTCGACTTCTCCGACACCAACCAAGCCTCCGCCCAGTCTCTCCCGCGCACGCCGCAGACACAGCGCAATGCGAGCCAGCAGAGCAACATCGGCGCCACCCCCACCAACGAGCGCGTAGTCTACCACGGCTGGCTATATGTCCTCAAGTCCAAAGGCGGCGTGCGCCAGTGGAAGAAGATCTGGGTGGTTCTGCGGCCAAGGTGCCTTGCCTTTTACAAAAACGACGACGAATACTCCGCGACCCATATCATTCCCTTTTCCAGCATTATCGATGCTGTCGACATAGACCCAGTCTCGCGAAGCAAGCAGTACTGCATGCAGGTCATATCTGAGGAGAAGAACTACAAATTCTGCGCTTCCAATGAAGACTCGCTAGCCAAATGGCTCGGCGCATTCAAGAGCTTGCTGGTTAAGAAGAAGGAGTTACCACAGACACGCATACAGCAGGCGACCCCCACCGCCATCAACACGCAGCAGCAACCCCAATCGTTCTTGCCTTCACCCATCGCGCCAGCTCAGCAGCCTCTCACAATCAGATGACCACCGCTCAACATACCCGACACTCACTCTGACAACAATTGTACATACGCTGGCACACGTATACCCTCACCAACCGACCTTCCACCGCCACCACTAATCGCGCAAACATTCTCTAACCCTATCTCCTTACGATACCATCACGATTTACGACTTAGCCTTACCGCCGCCCATTGACGGGGCCCTTTGATACCAGTTGGATACTTTTGCTCGACGATATTGGATATTGCAGCATGTTCCTTCGCAGATTGTTTCCTTTGTCCAGACTTGTCTCTCTTGTCGTCAACAGTAGTAGCCTTTGTAATATGCTTGTCACCCTTGATCTGGGTTTGAATTCAAATCTCATAGCTGTGCTTGATGACTTCGCGATCTTCCGTGCGATATGACGACTGCTACAATTTGTGGCTCTTGAATTTACGATCAGACTGATGGAGAACACATGTTCGAGGCATGGCGGGACGGCGCGCTTGCCCCTTTTGCGGCCAATCAGGATGGCACGATAGCTGACCAAATCAGACGCTAGGCTGGAGTCGAGCTGAACCCCGGAGAGGCTGAGGTCTTCATCTGCAACTGCATGCACATACTAGCGTCTGACTCTCACTCTTCCTTCAGTTCAGCCTTTGGCCCCCACACATCATGTCTGCCTTATTTTCGTCCCGTCCCCTCTCCCATGCCGTCGCAACTCCGCTCGCCAGCTCCCAGATCACCCATCTATGGAGGGCCAAACGCAAGATTCGGAAGCCACGCCGCATCTCCCACGTCACCCACGTCAGTATCAGGCTGAGGTGCGCGAAGCTTCCATCGATGAGCTTGCGCACGATGATTTGTACGGGGGCGGAAACCAGCCCCGACACGTATCCTTGAGTCCTGAAGGTGAAGAGGCCAAGGACGCAGAAAACTCGCAATGGATAGCCGACTACTTCACCGAGGAGCCCATCGATTTTGCTCAAGAGCTTCAATCGACCAGCGCTGGGCATCAGCAAACCTCTACCACGCGCAACGATGGTCGTTCAGGGAGGAATTACCGGCGACCGTCACGACCCCAGCCACAAAACACTTCACGTGTAGAGCCTGGGACGAATAGTTCTAGAAAGGAACTGGCGCTCAGATTTGAGCTCCCGCGCCGGGTCTCAACCCCCGAAGAATCAGAAAGCAGTATCATCACCGAAGACTTTAGTGAGAGCGAGTCATGGTCATTGAGCAGCGAAGAGGATACGTCTCCGAGAGATCCCCCACTTTTACAGCCCAACCGCTATGCGATGCATCCAGTGGACATCGAGGGCAACAGGCTCTCATTTCAGGTGCAGACCAAACCTTCGAGCAGCAGCATCGCCTTGAGTGAAGAATCTGATAAACCCGAAAACAGGGGGGGTGCGGGAGCAGATAAGAAGGAACCGGGAGACAAGAATCTGGAGATACGGAGAATCACCAGAGCAATGGCGATCGAGTCTGACGCCCAGAATATGCTTGAAATTCATACTCTACCAAGTCTGGCAAGCCCTCGATTGCGAACAAGCATAGCAACAACATGGTACCACCTCAATGGTAGTCATCTCGACTTTGACCGCTTCGAAAACGTCTGCCTCACTATCCCACATCTGTCTGACCGCCTACAGGCCCTTACCCGCGAGGTCTTGTTGAAACTGCGAGGCGAAAAGATTAAGCCATTTGTAGGCGGTAGATTCATCGAGCCAGGAACCGTTCTTCGAGCCGACGAATCTGATCCAACAGACACCCAGTCCGTGATCTTCAGCTGCGTACCTTACTTCAATCTCCAACAAGTTGCAAAGCCTACTACTGGGCAAGAAGATTCACGGTTCCATCCACGTACCTTGATGCAGGCTCTGTATCCGTATGAATCTGTTCGTGAGCGAGATGAGGAACAGTCATACAGGAGGTTCGGTAATGATCCGATGAATAACATTGTTCATGTCCCCAGCCTGTGGATCATCAACATTGGATCTACTGCTATCGTGACATACGGACACGAAACTCTGCCTGTAGCGATCAAAAGTTCAATCGGCATTGTTGAGGAAGACATCAGGCTTCTTGGCAGGCAGAGCATCACAGAGAACACTCTGACCAAGGTTCACATCACCAATCGCGACGGGAGCAGCCTCATATATCCCCTGGGTGAGTTCAGATCCTATTTCCAGCTGGAATCGCGAATTCTCCACAGCAATCCGTCTCTCGAGGGGCCCCTTGTTGGCGAAGGGATCAACTTGAAAGTCGAGGATGTAGATGGAGGTACTATGGCCGGGGCCAGGAACTGGAAAAGCATCGTCTCTCGAGCAGCCCAGCATGTCTCGATCACCATTACGATTCCATACGACCAGATACGTGACGGAAGAGATGAAGAAGCTTCGACCGCACTACCAGCGGCTGTCGGTCCCCCCACGTGTGTTCCGCCCTTCTTTCACTGGTTGCAGTCTAAGACCAACGATCTTTCTCATAGAGGTGGAAAGCCGGTAGTACTCGGTACCACCGGGAAAGACCGATCCATCGCCTGCCTGGACTACGTGGAGAAGCTCATGACGTCGAGGTCTCTTGTTCGTTCAACCAGTCCTGTAGAAGATGCTTTCACCTCAACCAACTACTACCACTCCTTGCCTGAGACGGTATGTGAAGGCGTTTCTACGCGACGGTCCGAGTTACAGGAGCTGGTCAAAGCAACGCCTCTACCGGAGTCGGGTTCCATAAACCACAAGATGATTGTTACCACTCATTGCCGTAAGATTCTGACAAGATCAGTCGAATTTCTCGATACTGTCTGCGAAACTTTAGGTCTTTTCGTAGATGATCTGGATAGTAGCAGCATACTTCGAAAGCTATCGGGCGCACTGCAAAACATCCATCAGCAAGTAACGGCCATTGAGCAACGTGGAGCGGTTGAGCCCGACCCTGAGGAATACACGAACTCTGATTGGAAACACCCTGACATGCTAAATAACCGTATCTGGTCCATCCGCACCTCCGCTTGGGAAGTCCCATCTTCACTCCCAGAATCCAGGAAAACACTGCAAAGGTCGATTCAGCGTTGTATAAGATGTAGACGCCCGTTCACAAGCGCAACATCTGCAATGAAACATCTTGTGCGACATGTGGAGAAATATTCGGCTGGAAGTGCACATCCTGACGCTGAGATACCGAGTTTCGAAGAACTGCAAGACTGGATAATCAATTCCGTGCAATATCGGCGCGAACTGACGAATGCTAGCGCTTTGGTGATTCTTACACATGCTAGTGAGATCACCAAAGACTTTTATGTTCGAGCCAAAGAGCTTGCCGAGGGAGTTCAGAATGAGGATGGACATTTGTCGTTATTGTATACGCTGCCGCAAGAACTGATTTACGCATTTCAAAAGATCGTGATTTACTATCTGGCGATCGAGCGAGCTTTGCACGAGAATGAAAAGGCGTATGGACTCGACCCTCGGTTTCAGGACTCTCGCGAGCTTACAAACAATCCATACTCATCGAGGGATGTCGAAGTACTCAGACGCTTTGGTTTCCAGGCGCGACGGTCCCTGCGCAAAGCTCGGTTTCTGTTCTGCGATATGGGTAGACCCGAGTTACCATTGAACCTTCGCAAGCATCTTTCCCTGGGACCAGAATATGTGTCTCTATGGTTTATGAGAAGGTTGCTGATGAAGCCTCTCGAGCAGTCCAAGACTATCGGCGACATGTATCATGTATACGTCTCCAAAGTTGTAAGTACATCCAATTGCTACACTACATCTTGAGATGAAAAATGAGGCGCTATACACGCTTCGACAGCAGCGAGAATACGACGTGATACATTGCTAGACTTTACTAACATGTACTAGCAATTCGAAATTAATCACAGACCAAGCAAGCGCCTTCTGCGCGCCATCAACTTGATTCAAGAAGAGTTACAAGTCTTACAGTTAGTGAACACCTGGCAAACCAATCTGATACAAAATTATCTGGAGGTCATCGATGACAGCACATATGAGAAGCTAAGCCCATCTCGTCGGGCTATGCATCCTTACGAGGAAGCTCTGGGAAGGGCCTGCCTAGATCACCTTGCCCTAGTTCGGCTAGATTACGTTGATCTAATGCGACGTTGCGCCCCGCTCTCCGATCGCACGAAACAGATCCTGGAGATCAACGAAGAAGATCATGGAAAAGCTATCATGGTCTTCACCGTCGTTACAGTCATCTTCTTGCCATTGTCATTCGTTACAAGCTACTTCGGTATGAATGCCTCTGACATCAGAGACATGGACGAAACACAAGCTGTCTTCTGGAGCGTTGCTATACCACTAACCTGCGTCACTGTAGGCTCTTGCTTACTGATCGGTTACAATGGCGATAGCATACGGGACCTACTATCGTCCATGTATCGCAAAACGATGAGAAAAGAGAGAGACACAGTGGAAGCCGCTAGTATAACCGTTGCGCAACGCCAAGGGCCGTCCAAATCCAAGGGCGGTTTAGACAGTATCATTGACCCGTTTGGCGCAGCTTACGAAGTATTTCCTAGCCGACGGCGTGACCTATACAGAGCGAGTTATGGCGATGATGATTTTGACGAGTGGTATGTGCCAGACCACCCTATGAGCAAGTCCCCATATCTTTCTCAACCATATTCGTCTGGTGTTCCAGCGAAGGGACAACACTCTTACGCCAGTCCGGCACCCCTAGCAATCGAAGCACGCCGGCAATCACTATACCCATACCCACATGTACCCGACAGAAGATCGTCACGTATGGACTACAAAAGCTCACCATACATGCCTTACAAGGAAGCTGCGCCAGTCCGCCCTCGTCCACACCACATAATGAAGGGTCACTACGCCAATTCGAACGATCTGTTCAACCCATTCAGTCCGACCAGTCATGTCGATCCGTATGCAGATGGTGATGTTCGAAGCAGACTTAACATCTACGGTCATCCCATGTCTCATCTCCCACCTTACCCACCACCACGACGTATGTCAACAAAAGACACGACTACCCGCTCGCGCTCGAGGTACTATGATGACGACGGCGATGACGATGACGACGACGAATGGTTTGAACGCGGTGGCCGTGTTGAAGTGGGATCTAGATATGTACGACATGGCAGGTCACGGAGCGGTAGTTGGAGCCGTAGCCAAAGTCGAAGCAGGAGTCGCGACCGGTTCTACGAAAGGGCACCTGTGCGTCGCGTCCACTATGCAGATGAACCTGTAGAGGGTGTCAGACACCGCATCCCATCTGGGGACTCTTTTACATACGGCGCAGACAATGTTTCAGGCCGCCCACGAAGGGGAAGACGGGAGGACCATGCGGGGCTTGAAGAGGAGATGGAGAGGCTGAGAGAGGAGGCTGAGAGGGAAGGAAAATATCTGAAACGGCATAGGCATAGGTAGAGATTAGGTTGAGAATCTGCGATCCAGATTACGTCCTGCTCTGAAATCTGATGTTGATATTTGCTCAAACGAAAAGGGGTGAGGGATATCAGCCTATTCTACAAGTGCTTTGATATGACCGTGACGTGACAGTCCAATCCACAGTATGCGAGCGAGGTCCGTAGAAACCACCATCGAATATTTACAATTTTCACTAGAAGACAGACGAAGTAGTTTTAAACACCATTTAATTAACTATTACTACGGGAACACGGCAATAGCGACAAACTAGGAATTTTCGTTGACCAAAAACCTTTAACAGCTTCAGGTCCGCCCCGGCAACCATCTCCCCATTACGGCGCAATCGTCCTACACTACTCATAAACCGCCGAAAGCAAGAAAGAAGAACCAAGAAAACATGCTATTTGCTACTCATGTGCGCGTGCGCCGTGGCGCAATCGTGGTATCATCCATGATCAAAAGGTAGGAAAGTCGTAATCATGACTCGCAGCCCCAAGCGTATCGGGTATCACTGGCCGACCAACAAGCATCTAAACGCGGCCCTGGAAGACGGGGTTCTGGTCACCGAAGGTAGTGTTATACTCACCGGGCGCCGGGGCACCACCAGTGGGGTGAGCGGGATGAGTTGCTGAAGTAGTTGTAGCAGTAGGGTCGTTCAGACCAGTTGAACCAAGGCCAGTGGAGCCGAGGCCAGACGATCCAACAGGTGCGGCGGTGCCAGTGGTGTTGAAAGCATCGTCAACCTGAGTGCCGAAGCCTTGGGTGCCGGTGGTGGAAGGAACGCCGCCGGCGAGACCAGTAGCAGCAGCACCACCCATCAGACCCTGACCAGTGGTGACGCCTTGACCACCGCCGAGGCCACCAGCGTTAGTGTATTGGCTGTCGTACTGGTTGGCAGATGGGTTGATGCCCTGCGAGGCTCCAAGACCGCGGGACTCCTCACTGGTGCTACCGTAGCCGCCTGCGCGACCGTGGGGCTTGCGAGTGACCTTGCCAACCTGAGGCAGGCTGGAAGTCTCCTTGGCGGAGCCGATAGAGAAGATGGGGCTCTCCCACTTCTCGCCCTTGCCGGCAAGCTCCTTGTACTCAGTAGCCTTGGAAGAGATACCGCCGGGTAGGGAGATGTTCTTGAAGATGGAGTCGTGCTGAGTAACAGCCATGTTGACCTGGGTGTCCTTGGTCTTCTCCTTGACCTGCTCCTTCTTCTGCTTGCCTTGCATGATGCGGTGCTGCATAGCAGAGGCGTAACGCTGGTACATGTTCTGAATGTTCTGAGGGTCGGGGTTGCGCTTGGCCTCAGCCTCGGCGCGGTCAGCCTCAGTCTTGATGTCGAAGAGAAGGCCGTCAAGCTGGTTGGCGGAGTCCTTGATCTGCTTCTCCAAGACCTTCTGGATGACAGGACGCATGACCTTGAGAAGAAGGGGCTTGAACATGTTGAAGAGGAGCTTGTGGTTGCTCTTCTTCATCTTGATCTGAAGGTTCTTAATGTCAGACTCAACCTTGGTGACCTTGAAGAAGTGGGTCTGCGCGTTGTTCTCGCGGGCCTTGTCAGCTGTCTCCATCTCAACCTTGAAGCTGAAGCCGGAGCCACCCATGAAGATGTCCATAACACCCTTGTCGGTGATGGATGGGAAGCCTTGCTTGCGCTTGATGTAGTAGGAAACGTCCCTGAGATCCATCTGTACACCCGAGACAGAGAGCATGACCTTGTTCTTGTTCTTGCTCGAGATGGACTTACGTCCCCAGCGCCAGTAGTTGTCCGAGCCGAACTCCAAAGAGTTGGGAGCAAGGTTGTCACCCTCGATGACGAGGTTCTCAACGACGGCGTCGACCATGGGGTCGCTGTATTCGATACGCGGGATGGGGACGTAACGGACGTTCTCGAAGATGGACGGGAGGATGACGTCGCTCAGGTCCTTGAGAAGGTGGGGCTTGAACACAGTCTGACCGTTCTCATCTTGACCGAGGTCAAGGAAGAGCTTGTTGACCGACTCAGCGAACTGCTTGTTCTGCGGGTCAGCGTCGAACTGCTCGCCAACGAATTTGAACTCGTCGGCGATGCGGTCAGTGTGTCCACGGTAGCGGCCACGAAGGAGGCGGTGACCATCATCGTAGATCTGGTTCCACTCCTCGTTGCTACGGTCTTCGAGGATGAAGCCCTGCTGTTGGAGAGTCTTGCGGATGAACTGGTTGATGCGAGTGAACCAGTTCCTGAGCTCTGGATCCTGGTCCGCGTCCTTGTAGACCTGGTTGATGGACTCAATCAAGTCATCGAACGAGGTGTTGTTTGCGAAACGCTCAAGAAGAGTCTTCATGTTGGTCAACCATTTGTTCTCCGAGAGGAAGCCTAAATACGCACCTTGAGATCAGCTTCAGCAGTAGTTAGGGCATCGTTCTGATGCGCACCTTGAACAGAACCCTTGCCCTGCTGGCCAAGGTTCTTACCATGGCCGGAGTACTGCTCGGCGAGGTTGAGTAGGGTCTCGA